TCTCTGGCCTCCAGTAGCCAGGAAGGGAGGCCTGGCAGACCAGCCATGGCCCAGGGGATGGGGTGGCTCTCAGGGAGGTGGGTCAATATTTGTTGACTGACTGACTGCGTTTGAATCCAGCCCACAGGTGGTGGGGTGTCAGGCTGGGTGGGAGCTGGGATTGAGTTACAGTGCCGCGACAGGTAGGGGACAGGCCCAGCACTGCCCGCTGGCCAGGAAAGAGAGCACCTTCCAGCAGATAGGCCTGGCAGGGAGGGGGCTCCAGAATCAGCGGGGAGGGGTTGCTCCGAGTCAGGGGTGTCTAGCACAGGGTCACCAGGCTCAGGGTCACGAGGAGCTACCAGAACTTGGGAGGCAGGGAAAACCCAACAAGTGAGAACACCAGTGGGGTCAGGGAGGCCATAGGCAGCAACCGAGGGGAGGAAAGTGGCAGATTCTGTACAGGTGGGGTCTCCCTCGTGCCCAGAGTCGGAACACCTGGGGACCCAGGCCCAGCCCTCCCTCCTCCCACTCCCACCTTCTCTGGAGGGCAGTGCACCTCCCCTCTTACTGCAATTCTGGCAAAGTGACCTCAGGGTCTGCCCTTTCACAGGTACCTCAGGAGGAAGTGGCCATGGGGGCACCAGAGGAAGGGAGGCCCCGGGGGGAGGGGGGCTGGTGGGTGGGTGGGAGGAGGAGCCCAGGAAAGGAGGGAGCATCTGGAGAAGGAAGGGAGCACCTGACAGTGAGGAGAACCCAGGGTAGAGAAGGGGAGACCAGGGGAGCAAGGGGACGTTGGGGGAGGCAAGGGGTGCAGCAGGAGGATGGGGGGAGGAGTGGCCTCTGGGGGAGAGAAGGGAGCACTGGGGGCAGGGAAGGCAGAGAGAAGGGGGCTGGGGAGGGAGGATGCCTGGGGGCAGGGGATGCCCAGTGGGGACAGGAGGGGGGCCAGGAATAGAAGGGAGTATGGGGGAGGGAGGGAGATGGGTTTGTCAGGGAAGGAACTGGGCATCTAGGAGAAAAGGGGACCCTGGGCTTCCAGCAGCTTTCAGGAGAAAGAGGATACAGGGTGGGATAGAGGGAGTTCCCCAGGGGAAGAGAGGGCGTCTAGGGTGGGAGGGCTTGGCACTCTGGGAAGGGAAGGGCCCCTCTGAGGGAGAAGGAGACCGCCTGAGGAGAGGGGGTGCTAGGGGAGAGAGGATCCCTGTGAGAATCCCTTGCCCATCCCACAGAACCCAGGTGATGTGGGGATGAGGGCCTCAGGCCCTGGGAGCCTCTGAGTTTGGCTGGATATACGGGCACCCTTCCCACCCCCTGCAGGGGATGCTGACCTGGCCCCAGTGAATCTCACCCTGTCACCCACGTCACTGGCACATCAACGGGCAGGTCTCTAACAGCCATTCTGGGTGCAGTGAGAGCGCATGGTGGCCCCCGGTCCATCCACCCTTACTGAGTAGCAAGCAAGTTTCACTCATTCAGTGGCTGTCCCTGAGTCCCTGCTGGCTGTGCCGCAGCTGGGAGCTGGCAGCGAGCAGGAGGACGAGCCCCTGGCCTTGTGAGCCCTCTGCTCTAGTGCAGGAGACCCTACCTACAGCAAGGTGAGGCTCTAACCCCAACACGACCGCCCCACTGCCCACCCTGCTCTGGGCAGCTCCCTCCCGCATTCGCTCTCTGCTTCCAGAAGCCACCTTGGCCCTCTTCAGGAGGGTGTGGAATTTCCCACAGTGACCTGTGAGCTCACCAGGTCCTGAGCCCGGCCCTCAGGGGCCCCGGACAACGGTGTAAGGCATGCAGGCCACTCTGCACGAGCCACACTATTCTTCTGATTCTGTAACTCTAGAACTCTCCTCCTCCTTAGTCTGCCCTGCCCAGTCAGGGTTAGCGAGCCATGGGAGTTCCTACCACTGGAGCCAAGTGGGGAGGGGAGAGGAACTAACACCATGCTAGGATCACTAGGAAAGAGAAATTCAAAGAGAAGTGACTTCTGGGTCAATTGGGCAAAGCAGTGGCAAGAAGCAAAAGTTGTGGGGCGCCTGGGTGGCTCAGTCAGTTAAGCAACTCCCTTCGGCTCAGGTCGTGATCCTGGGGCCCTGTGGTGGAGCCCCACATCGGGCTCCCTGCTCATCAGAAGCCCACTTCTCCCTCTCCCTCTGCTGCTCCCCCTGCTTTGTACTCACTTCCTCCCTCTCTCTCTCTCTCTCTCTGTCAAATAAACAAATAAAAATTAAAAAAAAAAAAAAGCAAAAGTTGCAGCTGGCAGGACTTAGGTTAGATGGAGAAAGAACTTCAGTGGATGAAGAAATGACCAAACCTCATACCTAGGGCATGTTACAGGGAAGCCTGGGGGAACTGAGAGTCATCAGCTACGATGTAACAAGATATGGAGAGCCCCCTCCTTCCCCAGATACCTCTCATTCCATGCTGCTCTCCTGTGCACACTCAGAATCACAGGGCACTGTGGGAGCTAAGGGAGCTAAGTCACTGTTTGCAGAGCCTGTGGCTGTTCACAGGGTCCGCTTGTATTAAGAGGTCAGCTCTGTTTCAAGAATTTAAGAGTGCCTGTGCTTGATTCTCCCAGCCCTCTCAGGTTAGCAAAGCCTGCTGCTTGCTCCTGACTCTATCACAGTCTTCAGAGATGATCCTTGTGTGCAGAGTCTGAGTTTGCAGAAACTTCCTCTTGTCTGTTTCTCTCCGAGCCTGTGTCTAGAGGCTCTTTTAAGGGTCTTTTTTTCAAAATGTGTCTTCCTTCTTTTCTTCCTCCCTTCCTTCCTCCCTCCCTCTCTTTCCCCTTCCCTTCCCTTCTGTCCCCTTCCCCTTCCTTCCGTCCTTCCTTCCTTCCTTCTTTCCTTCCTTCCTTCCTTCCTTCCTGAGATTTTATTTATTTGAGAGAAAGAGAGAGAGAAGGAGCAGGGGGTAGAGGGACAAGCTGACTCCCTGCTGACTGGGGGACCAGGATGCAGGGCTTGATCCCAGGACCCTGAGATCGCAGCCTGAGCCAAAGGCAGACACTTAACGCACTGAGCCACCAAGGTGCCCCCCAGAACCTGTCTTTTTAAACAGTCTGTCCCTATTTCCTTGTGCATTAGTTTTGCTTTTATGACAGAGACTGCACTGTGTGTACAACCTATCCCTGTCTACGGAGTTTGTCTGGGTCCTTGTCTACGATACCTCTTTCAGCCTAAAGACGCTGTTCCTGTTTGCAAAGCTTTGTTTCCAGTACCTGTCCATATCAGCAGACCCGGTTTCCTCTGCAGTGTCTCTGTCTCTAGACTATGATCCTGTTTGCAGAGTCTTTTTCTATTCCAGAGTCTCGTTCAGTCCGCAGAACCTAAGTCCTATTTGTACAATCTATGACATCTTTTTAGGGACTTCAACTGTTTGCACACCCTATCTGAATTTCCCTGGGTAGAAACTGTTTCTGCTTGCAGGACCTGTTCCTGTGAAGACTTACCACTGTCAGAGGTCACTGTGTCTATCTGGGAGCACCTGTGTCTCTCTGCATAGCATATCCCTGTTTGTAGAGCCTCTGCCTATCTGCATACTCTGTTCCTAATTCTATGTGTAACTGTTAGCAGAACCTGGCCATATTTACAGAGCCTTTATCTGCTTCCAGAATTCATTTTTTTTTTCTATAAAGTCTATCCCTGTTTGCAGAACGTGGGCTCTCTATAGAACTCAGTCCTGTTTCAAGATCCGGGAATTCTGTGCTTGAACACAAAGCTAATTACCCTGCCAGCTCATTTCAGCAAACCCTGGCGGCTCTGAACAGGCTCCCATTGTTAACAGAACCTATCTAGTTATAGAGCCTGTGTGGGCTTACAAAACCTCTCCCTATCTGCAAAGTCTCAGTCTGCAGAGCCTGTGTCTTTTTTCAGAGTCTGGATCTCTTTGCAGAGTTCATGAGTATTTGCCCAAGCTGTTCCCATCTCTCTGCATGCAGAATTTGAGTCTGTTTTCCAAAGCTGCTCTTGCATGCGGGGGTCTGACCATGCCTAGAGAGTTTCTGCTTGTTTCAAGATCCTGTCTCTGGAAAGACGCTGTGCCTGTTTGCAGAGCCTTGCTTTCTAGGTACCTGTCCATGTCTGCAGTCTGTCTCTTATGCAAAGAGTCCCTATCTTAAGGGTTTGTCCCCATCCGCATTTACAAAGCCTTTCCCGGTCCGCAAAGCTCCTCCATATCTGCTAAGTCTGTGGCTGTTTGTAGAGCCTTTTTTGTATTCACGTCCTTTGCTTGTTTGCCTGCCCCATCTGAATTTCCCTGGGTAGAGTCTGTCTCTTTGTGCAGGCTGTGTTTATACACACACACGGTCCCTGACCACAGAACTTATTTTATCAGGACAGCCTGTGCCTGTTGCATCCCTTTCTTCAGTCTCAGGAAGCCATCCCTGTTTGCAGAGCCTCTGTTTATATGTAGAGCCTTTTTCTGTCCACAGAAACTATCACTCTCTGCCGGTGCAGTCTCTCTTTGCATAGCCTGTCCCTAGGAAGACCTAGGCCTATTCGCAGCTCTGAATCCTGTAGACAGAGTCCGTCTTTGCTTACAGGATTCAGTCTCATTTCAAGAACCTGTTTGCAGAGCCTTTCCTTGGCTGCTGAATCTGTTTTTTTTTACCAGCAGAACCTTTGCCTGTCTGCAGAGCCCATCACTGTCTCCAGTGGCCATTCCTGGCTGCAGAGCTTTCTATCTTCATAGCCTGTTTCTAACTCCCTGCTTGTAGAGGTCCCCATGTTCAACACCCATCCCTGCCCACAGAGCTGGGCCCTGTTTCAAGACCACAACCACAGATAGCAAATCAGGTCCCTGCTTGCAAAGCCTCTGTGCCAACGTCTACAGTACCTGTCCTGCTTTGCTGGCCTTTGGGTATGTATAGAGCCCTCCTAGTGAAAGGCATGTTCTGTGATGACAGTGCTTTGGAAAGCTGCAGGCGGGGAGTGTTCTTGCTTGGAGCCCAGAGCACAGGTTGTCAGGGCCTGAGAACTCCAGCCCTTGTTGTTTCCTCCTTCATTCCCTCCTGGCCCAGGATGGACATCGGCAAGGACCTCCCAGCCATTGAGAGTCACAGGGACCTCCACGTATGGATCATCGAGGTGAGGGGCACAACCGGACAGAGCTGGTGACAAAGCCTATGCAGTCTCTGAGCTCTCCCCCCATCTCAGAGCTCCCTCCTTCCTCCAACCCCAGAAGGTCATGGGTAGGCAGGTGGTCCTGCGGAGTTTTCCATGGGCACTTTCCTCTCCCAGAACCTGAGCATGGTGCCAGCTCCTGAGAGGGCTTATGGGAACTTCTTCAAGGAACGCTGCTACATCGTCCTCCACGTGAGCATGCGGGGAGTCTGTCTGAGAGGTGGCTTGGCCCGCTGGGGAGTGTGATGATGCAGACCAAGCCCCGCCCCGGGAAGAGGCAGGCTGGCAGCCCAGGAATCAACCCCAGGAGAGGGCTGCCACCTCTGAGGCCTCTTCATCCTTCTGTCCCCCATTCTGGACCTCCTGTCGAGGGAGGCGCCTGCCCAGTCCCTCCAAGGCCCTTGGCGCACCCTGGATCTGTGTCCACCCCATCCCTGGATCCTCCGCGAGCCCCGACCCCCCCCACACACACCTGGGCCCTAGGTTCCCCAGAGCCTGAAGGCCCCGCAGGGGGTGCCCAGCGACCTGCACTACTGGGTCAGGAAGGAGGAGGGCGGAGAGGCAGAGGGCGCGGCGGTCGCTTTCGAGCAGCACCTGCAGGGGGCGCCGGGGGCCGCCACCGTGCAGCACCGGAAGGCGCCGAGCCAAGAGGCCGACACCTTCCGCAGCTACTTCAGCCAGGCAGTGCTGTGAGTGCTAGGCTGCCGGCTGGGAGGCCTGGGGTGACTCTCTTCACCCTCGCGTGGGGGTGTTGGGCTCGGGGGAGACGTCTCTCCTGAGTTACAAGTCTCATACCCAACAACGACCGATTTAGAGCATAAATTCAGTGACTTCTAGTCTGTCCCTGAGTTGTGCACCATCACCTCCGTGACCCCAAAAGAAACCACATACCCTTCACAACACTCCCCGTTTACCCCCAACATTTTCTTCCCTCCGTCTATATAGATTTGCCTATTCGGCGCATTTTTATAAATAGAATTCTACAGCGCATGATGGGGGATAGAACACATCTATGCATTTATCCCTCACGGGAGATTTGAATTGCTTCCACTTTGGGGCTGCTGCGGATAATGCTGCTATGAACATTTTTATCCACGTTTTGCGGTGGGTTTTTTGTTTTGTTTTGTTTTGTTTTTTCCGATTTTGTTGGGGTAATTGACATACATCACGGTAGAGTTTGAGGAGTACAGCATGAGGCTTTGACTTACAATCCCTGAGACCTGATCACCACACTAAGTTTAGTTAACATCCTCTTGTCTACAAGCTTTTGTGCAGAAGTGTTTTTCCCTTCTCTTGGGTATATACCCAGAAGTGGAGGTCAATGTCTTTTGGAGTTTGCCTTTGTGATACTGTGCCCAGTAGAAATATGTCTTTGAGTAGAAATTGCTTCAAATATGGATTAAATGAATGATGGCGATGTATTAGGTTAAACCGTAGGAAAATGCCAATATTTGATCATGGCTGTTTCATACATGGCTGTTTCATTCATGTAGCAGTGTTCCTCGAAGAAGTTAAACCTCGCACACACATATAGGATAGACGGGAGCATATTTATACACACACAAGCACAAAACACACCACTCCTATAGGATGCGCCAATAGGCGGGCACACGTACATAGACACATGTCTGTGTGCACACACGTGTGCTGTGGCCCAGATTCCATGCACTCCCATCTGTACCTCCACGGACAGATCCCCGTGTGCCCCTACTTGTCCACGGATACACGTGTGCTCACCTCTGCGCTCGTTCCTGAGCATGGCAATGTGTAGTCTTCCAGGAGAGCCCGTTCCCTCCTCAGCTACCGGAAAGGAAGCCTGGCCTCTGCCCTCAGGCACGTGGAGACCAACATGTACAGCATCCAACGACTTCTGCACATTCGAGGGAGGAAGCACGTGCCAGACACCAAGGTGAGGGCTGCGGGGGATGGTGCTCTGCCTCCAGGCTCAGGTCAGACTGTGAGGACTCCCCTATGGGGAAGTGTGGAGGAGGGAGGGGGCCGGGGGGGTGGCAAGGGCTGTCACCACTCCCAGGTGGCCTATCTTGAATGAGCAGAGAAGAGGTGGAACCAAGCTTCTAGCCCCTCACCACCACAGCTCCTCCGACTCTATTTTCTCATCCACCCCAACGGCCTATGAAAAACTTGGGGAGGTGAGGCAGACAAGATGGCGCACCCAGAGGGTCCTCCTAGGCAGCACAGTGGGAAGTGGCCTGATGTGGGATGGGGGTGCACAGCCCCACACTCTTCACACACATTGTCCCCATCGCCCATAGGCACACCCACTGTCTCCCATCAGTCCCCCCAGGCTCACAAAAGTCTGTAGATTGCCCCCTACTTCCATCTGTTGGAAAAGCAATTGGGAATACCAGTCTTGTTAGAACATGACACGTTACTGCCATGTGGCAGGAATTTGGCATCACAAACATCCAGGTGTTTGATGTCTGCGATGTGAATGGTGACACCTGAGTTGTGCACATTACTCTCTATATGACATAGAGTGGTCTGTTACAATCCTACACAGGCTCACCCACCGTCCCCACAGAGGCAGTGACCTATGTCCCTAGTCACACAGGGACAACACGCAGCCCCAGGTTTGGCCTGCCATATTGGCATAATTATTTAGAATCCCTCCTTCTCCTCCCTGAAGTGTCTCTGTTTGGATGGTAGCTGTCCTTCTCCGTAGATAACACCCTGCCCCCCACTCAGACACATCAGCTCTCACCCATGCGCTCTCACACTTGTTCACATCAGAAGTGCCCCCATATGTGTACACACACATGTACACATGTGAGTAGATAGGTACACATACTCCACTTGCACACACATGTACACGTACACACATGCAGCTATCGACATGCCTTGAGCAGACAGTGTCTTAATCGTGAACACCCTGTGAAATGCAGCATTACCCAAAGTCATACATGCCTATGGATGCACACAGCCATCCCCCTAGAGTGACCTTCAAGATCTCATATGGTCACACAGTGCCACAGTACTGCGTCCCACAGATAGGCAGTTGGCCACAGCTTGGTGCACTCATGCGGACAATGTAGGTTGTCCCTCTCCCCGGGTGCTGGTGGTATAACACCCTGTTTCCTGCCCTGCCGCTCCTGACTCTGGCAGGTGGAGCTCTCTTGGAACAGCTTTAATAGGGGTGACATCTTCTTGCTGGACCTGGGCAAGGTGATGATCCAGTGGAATGGGCCCGAGAGCAGCATTCCTGAGAAGGCGCGGGTCAGTGTCTACCCTGGGAACTAAGGGATGCAGGGTTTGGGGGGAAGGGTGCCCATCCTCCAGCCACCCCAAGAAGTGGGCCTGGTTCTCTGCTACAAGCTGAGAAGCACCTATTACGTGCAAGCTGAGCCTAGAGCCTGCACTGGCATCCTTGGAGTCTAGGATGCTGCGACGTCTCCCCATGACTCCGGCCTCTGGGAGCTGAGCTGTGACAGAAAGGATCGGGGATGGATTATCTGAGCAGGGAAGTTGGGGGACATGCTGGGGAAGCCCTGACTGCCACGTCCTCTCACAGGGCCTGGCCCTGACCTGCAGCCTCCAGGACAGGGAGCGTGGTGGCCGTGCACAAACTGGTGTGGTGGATGACGAGGTCGAAGCCACTGACCCGATGCAGGTCACGGAAGCTGTGCTGGCCTGCAGAGTGGGCAATCTGCACGCCACTGTGCCCAACAAGAGTATTGACAGGCTGCAGAAGGCCAGTGTCTGCCTCTACCAAGGAGCAGACCTGGGGAGTAGACAGGGTGGAGGGAGTAGCCTGGGTCTGCATGTCTGTCATTACTACAGTAACACAGTGTCCCTAGAAAGCTCTCTAGGAAAGGCCCCTGGGTTTCTGGAGCAAGCCATGTAAGGCTTTGGGCCCAGCCTGTCCTCTTGCATGGCTGTGTTTCTGAGATACCTATTGTACAGATAGGGCAACTGAGGCACCAGATGGCAAGGAAGCCTAAAGCTCTACAGCAAGGCTGCAGTGATATCAGGACTGCAACTTCCATGCCCTCTGCCTTTGGGGGGACTAGAGGAGGCTGGAGTGGAGCCAGGCCAGAGAGGGACTGAGCTGCCTACATCGGTTGCCTATCCCCTAGTGTTTGTGAGAAGTATGAGAACTTGGTGATCCAGGAGTTGGCGACCTGCCTACTAACCCAAGACCTACTGCAGGAAGAGGTGAGGCAGGCCCAGCTAACCTCATCCATTCCCACCCACCCACAACCCCAACCTGAGCCAGACCACCTCCTGATCATTCCCCTTCTTGCTCCCAGGACTACTGCATCCTGGACCAGGGTGGTTTCAAGATCTACGTGTGGCAGGGACAGTTGTCCGGCCTCCGAGAAAAATAGGCTCCCTTCAGCTGGGCTCTGATGAAGCTGTTGGGCCCTGTCTCAAAGGGAGCTGCCCTGAGGTTTGAAGTGGGGGGACCCCTGCCCTGGGGTGTGAGGGAAGAAATGGTAGTACCCTGAAATCTAAGCTAGGAGACATCCACGTTCCTGGGGTTTTAAGGGACAGTAGTCCTGCCCTTGGGCCAGGAGGTGGATACATCCTGCCCTGGGAGGCTGTCTGATAGAGGACATGCCTTTGCCCTGGGGTCTCAGCTTGGAGACAAAGTGCCTCCTCTGAGGATGTAGACACAGTTTTGTCAGGGGTCTGAGAGAGAACACAGGGCCCCTCTCGAGGTGCCCGGGCCATGCAGCCTACCCTGGGGAGCCCTGACAGGGGTTAGGGCACGGGGGACCAGATAGCACCCAAGAAACCACGTGTAAAAGGGGAACGTGGCCCTGCCTTGCGGTTTGAGAAGGACACCGCACTGGGCGCCTCCTCCTTTTTGAGGAGGGCAGACAGGGCTCTCCTGGGGTCTGCGGGTGTTGTCACGCCCATCCTTCCCAAGGCTCAGACGAAGGGGACCTTGCCGGTCCTCAGGGACCTCAGAAAAGTCGGTGGTGAAGGGGCCAGCTTCTTCTTCTTTTTTTTTTTTTTAAATTTTATTTTTTTTTTTTTATGTGACAGAGAGAGAGATCACAAGTAGGCAGAGAGGCAGGCAGAGAGAGAGGGGAAAGCAGGCTCCCGGCTGAGCAGAGAGCCCCATGTGGGGCTCGAGCCCAGGACCCTGAGATCATGACCTGAGCCGAAGGCAGTGGCTTAACCCACTGAGCCACCCAGGCGAAGGGGCCAGCTTCTTAAGCGGGTCATGAGCTCGGTTAATGCTGCTCAGGGCTTGGCTGAGCCGCACGTCCCCCGTGCGGGTGGAGCAGAGAATTGGACCCCCCCGGCCGAGCCCCTGAAGCCCCGGCCTGGGCGCCCCTGACAGAGACCCCGCCCCAGACCTTCATCCATGCCAAAGGCTATCAGACCTACACCAACGTGGAGGTGGTGAACGACGGCGCCGAGTGGGCCGCGTTCAAACAGCTCTTCCAGACGGTGTACCAACCAGCGAAGGCACAAGAATGTCGACGGGACTAGCGAGAGGGAGGGGCGGGGTCTGGAGGGGCGGGGCTGGCGCGGGGCGGCACCCGGCTCCTCAGTGGGATGGGAATGTGGTCGTGGCTTGGCCTAATGGGCCGAAACGTGGTTGGCGCGGGGCGGGTTCTGGGGCGGAAGGCGGGACCCGCGCGGGGCGGCACCCAGAACTTCGGTGGAATGGGAGAGCGGGCGGGACGAGGCCGGAGGCTTGGAGGAGGCGGGGCGGGGCCGGCGTGGGGCGGCACCCAGAACCTTGGCCGGGGGCGGGGGCGTGGCGTGACCTGCGGGGGCGGGACGTGGTCGGCGTGGGACAGGGCCTGCGGGGTGAGGCGGGGCGGGCGCGGGGCGGCACCCAGAACTTCCGTGGGATGGAGGAATGGGCGGGACCGGGCCCGGCGGGTTGCGAGAGCCGGGTGCTGCAGACGCTCAGCCGGGTCTTCGGTGGGATGGAGTGGGACCGCCAAGGGGTGGCACCCAGAAGGTGCCACTGGATGGGAGGGTGCGGCCGGGGTTGGGGGGCTTCTTGAATGATGGGACGGACGGGGGTTAGCTGGGGCGAGGACGCCAGTGACACCTATGCCCTCCCTGATTCAGGTAAATTGATTCAGGTAAGGCTGATGTGGGCAAGCTGCACAGTCAGCCTGAACTAGCGGCCCAGCTCAGGATCGTGGACGCCTCCGGGAAGGTGGAGGTAAGGGGCATTAGCTTGGCTGGAGGAAGATAGGCACACAGGGCAGGCTGTGTTTTCAGGTGATCCGTATGGTTGCTGAAGTGCCCCAAGTCCACGCAGTTGCACATCACACGGTGACACCCAGAGGCATGCGTACATGAACACACACCCTGTCTACAGCTGGCTCACACACATCACGCCTAATCAATCTATGCAGCTGCGTTCACGTAACACTTGGCACACAGCACAGTAACACTTCAAGATACTTAAGTCCGCCCCTTTGTTAAATATATGACATAACCATATATAGAATACAGACACATATATGCACACCTTTTAATTGCACCCAACCAGCCAAGTTCACCAGTGGCAAACGTGTAATTGCACAAATTCTACATTACACATGATCACAGTCACACACAACAGTCAACCCACAGGAACACACCAACATAGCACACAATCACATGTCATCAGTCACAGCCCCATGCGGTCACACAGTCAGCCACCTGTCTGGCCTCAGACCAGAGTTCTGGGAGATGTAGGGACTGCATCATGACATGTTATCTGATCCCTGGTAGAACCCTTAATTCCTTTGGGCCTCAGTTTTTATCTATAAAGTGGGGGCAAAAACATCTGGCCTTGGCTGGTGTGGGGATGCTGTAAGATTCTGGGAATAGGACTTGTGGCCTTCTAGTTCTTAAGGTAGGTGGAGGTCAGAGAAAATACCAATTGTCCAAGGTTTCTTCCTATATTTGCCCTAATATGGATGGATAGAGACTGTTAGAAGGGACCAAGAGAGGAGGAGACACAGCAGGGGTTGGGGGAGCAGGCAGAAAGGAAGACAGGGAATGGGAACAGAGACAGAAGAGACTGAGAAAGAGGAGGAAGGAAACAGAGTGGAGGGGGGATGGGATGAAAAGCAGGAGAGATGGGGTACACAGGGAGAGACAGAGGGGGATAGGAAAACAGAGGAGGGCAAAGGTCTTGCCACTCAGGCTCCAAGCGCAGAGGCAGGGAGGGGAGCCCTCCCAGCATGCCTGCAGTCAGGGGGTGGGGAGCCTCTGAACCAGGAGGCCTGGCTGCCAGATAAGGGCTGCTCCTGGGTAGCACGTGTGATGTGGTCGGGAACAGTCTCTTCTCCAAAAGGCAGCATTCTTCCCCAGAGAGGACATCTTCCCCAGAGAGAGCAGTCAGGCTCCGTGTGGCCACAGGATGCCCAGGCACTGTTTCCTGCCATTGTCAAGGTGGGCATTGGTATGCCCACTTTACCGATGGGAAAAGCTGACACTCAGAAGGGTCTCACCGCCCACACCGGGTTTGCCTGGGATTTGATGCAGGTCGGCCCGGCTCCAGAGCCCATGCTCAATACTCACTAGGAACAGGAAATCACGCTATTAAGTGTAAGGAAGTATTTTCCTTTCAGCGTTTGAACAGGTTTTGTCTTTTTAAGTGACACTTGAGAAAAGAGAATTTTCCCGAGAGCCCCGAGGCCTTGCATCCACCCAGCTTCTGCAGCCCTGGCCTGGGCAGCAAGCAGCTGGGCCAAGACCTGCCTGCGCCTAACGCGCCTGTGGCTGGAGGGGAGCAGGGTGTCTGGGCAGCCTCTGGAGTCGTCCCCGCTTACTTGTCCCATGCACCACAGGACAATTCTGTCCTGTTTGACAGCAGGCCAGGACATATGTGGCAGTGCCCAGGGGCCATGGGGAGAAGGGTCACCTGCAGAGCCTTGCGCCAGCCCAGGAGAGCCCTTGCCTGCACTGAGAAGGGCTGCCCTGTGGCTGAGGAGAGCTCGCTGGCTGGGCACAGGCTGGGCGGGCTGGTTCAAGGGGAGGAGCCACCTGGGCCCACCAGTCTTCTGTTCCACAGGTGTGGTGCATCCAGGACTTGGGCAGACAGCCCGTGGACCCCAAGCACCATGGACAGCTGTATGCGGACATCTGCTACCTGGTCCTCTACACCTACCGGAAGATGGGCCGTGTCTGGTACATCCTATACCTGTGGCAGGTGTGCGGCTTGGGGGTGGGAGGGGGCACCTTCAAGCCCCAGGGCTGAGGATCTGAGAATGGGATTGAAGAGCTGCCCCAGGCCCTTACCACCAACACCTGCACACCACCAGACCACCACACATGAGGTCAGTGCTGTAAACCGCAACACCGAGGAGCTGGACCTCATGTCCCATGGAGCCCTGGTGCAGAAGCATGCGACCATGGGCAGCGAGCCCCCTCACTTCCTCGCCATCCTCCAGGGCCACCTGGTGGTCTTCCAGATAGGGACCACCTTGCTGCTGTCCCTGCAAACTCACCGGCTCCTCCATGTGCCCACAGCCCTTATGTAAGGGCGAGGCTTCTCTTCAGCCCCGGGGGCCCTCCCTGCTTACTATCCCTGGTAACCCCATGCTGTCAGACACCCGGGAGCTCCAGGGCTGACCCCTGTCTGAGTCTTTTCACCTGGTCCCCAGAGCCAGGCACAAAGCAGAAGCACAGGTGAAGAAGCTGAATTGGAAGGGAGTAGGGCCTTGCCTGGGGTCACCATTTTCTGTCCTCAAGGCCTGGGGTAGCCATGACCCAACTCCTTGGACATGGGGGAGGGATCCATTGAGAAAGGGCCTGGTTCCCTATCCAAGGCTGATGGGGTCCTCACGCTCCACACTCAAGGGGTCTAGGAGTTAGTGGTGGCTTCAGGCAAGAGTCTGCTGGGCGCGGGGGTAGTTTGTCCGTCACTGGGACAGGGAGGCAGCTCCCAGGAGCCCTTGCCTCATCCTGAGGCCCAGCCTTCTTGTAGGGGCTCAGCGGGCATGATGAGAAGGGGCAGCCAGCACCCACCATAAGGCTCTTCCATGTGCAAGGCACGGACAGCTACAACACCAGGACCGTGGAAGTGCCGGCCTGTGCCTCAGCTCTCAACTCCAATGACATCTTCTTGCTGGTCACACCTAGCACCTGCTACCTCTGGTTTGGAAAGGTACCTCTAACACTGGCCCCTCACACCTAAGGCGGTGTGCAGGGCCAGGGATGGCTCTACTCCACAGGGGAGGCAGAGGTCACGTCCAGCCTCAGGCCAGGCCCTGTGCAGGGGGGAGGACACAGTGGGGAGCTGAACGTGACAGGTAGATCTGGGAGTCCACTGGTCAGAGGCAGGCCAGGTCCAGGCTGCCTCCCCTGCTTCCTGCCAGGAGCATGATCCTTGGGAAAAAGAGGAGGCCTAGTCCAGTTTGCCAGTTTTCTCTGATCTTCAACATAAACCATAAATGGTCCCCAAGTCTGGGGTCCCCATTCCATTCTGCGGACCAGGAGAGGGCCCCAGTCCTGATAGTGGGGAAGCTCATGTGTGCCCTGGCATCAGCATAGGCCTTCCCTGACTCAAGCCCAGCCCCCCAGAGTCCCCTGTGAGTGGGAGAGGTGGGGCTGGAGGCAAAGACCCCTCCCCCTTCAGGGCCTGACCCAGCTCTTTGTTGGCCAGGCCTGCAGCGGTGACCAGAGTGAGATGGCAGATGGTGGTCACTGCCATCTCTGGGGAGAACAAGGAAACAGTGCTGGAGGGTCAGGAGCCTCCCCACTTCTGGGAGGCCCTGGGAGGCCGGGCTCCCTACCCCAGCAACAAGAGGTGACAGGGCTGGGAGGAGGGTGTTCTCCTTACACAGAGGAGAAAACTAAGACCCACAGAGGGTGGGTGACGACTTAAGGGTCACACAGAGAGCTGGAGAGGCCACCCTAGAACTGAGGTCTCTTGGCTTCCCAGCCCACAGTCCCCAGGAGTCATGGTGCCGAGTGTGTGTGTGTCTGTGTATGTGTACATTTATGTGTGGGGGGCAGTTAATGTGACGTGTTGATAAACAGTATGTGTGGAGTGTGTAAAAGGACAAGGGTGTGTATCAGAAGGTAAGGCAGGTGAGGCCTTCAGGGAGGTTGTTACCGAGTCGGGGCTGCTGTGAGTGTCTGTGAGGCCGGGTTTATGTGCTGTATGCCCCTGAGCATCCAGCCAGGACCGGGGGCTCCTCCCTCCTGGGGTGGGCAGGGCCCCAGCTTAATGCCCCGCCCCTCCATCCTTCCCTCCAGCCCCACTGAGCCAGCCATCCCCCTCCCAGGGCCCACTCAGGGGAAAATTCCTGGGGCAGCATGTGTCACCACCAGCTGTGGCTAGACAGGTCATGTAATGGGCTTTCCCACTGACAGATGGGGACCCTGGGGCCCAGAGAGCAGCAGGGCATCTCCAGAGGGAATTATGGGCTGGGGGGAGCCCAGAGGAGGGCCCTTGCCTCCCGCTGCAGGAGAAGCTGTCCCTGTGCTGGGGGCTAGCTCGGCCCAGGCTGCTGGGAGGCACAGCTCTCTCTGGGCCCCTCACAGCTTGGCTGTCTGCAATGGCTGGGCTTCCCAAGGATGTCTCCAGCTTCCAGCCATGGCTGTTTGAGTGCTCCAGCCCAAAGGGCCACCTGGTCCTCACGGAGGTAGTGTTCTTTAGTCAAAAGGACCTGGACACGTATGACATCATGTTACTGGACACCTGGCAGGAGGTGAGACAGCCACCCCGGCTGGCTGGGGTGTGAATGAGGGGGTGTCCGTGTCCATGCAGCCGGGGCTGAGTGTAAGTGCATTCCCAAACGTGTCAGGCTGTGGGCGAGTCTGCGTGACTCTGGGTGACACAGTAACGCTGTGAGTGACTGTGCCCCGCACGGCCACGGACAACTCCGTGTCACCGCGAAGCTGCAGGGGACTCTGGCTGTGTCTGGGGCTCATGTGCGGCTGGGAGCAGTTCTGTGTCCGCGTGCCTCACAACAGCATGCGATTCCAGGTGACCGGGTGCCCGTGGCTAAGGTGGCAGTGCGAGCAGTCACAAATTGAATGACCGCGCGAGTGTACATGCTTCTTTTGTGTGACGGGGCTGCCTCTGTGGAGCGGCTGTGGGGTCACACGCTGCTGTAACTGGGGAAACCAAGAAACGATAAGACTGGCTGCCACGGGAGCGACTGAGTCACTTCTTGGGGGGCAGGGTCACTGTGCGTCTGAGAGGCTCCATGCGGCGGGTTTGGGGGTTGCCTGTTTTTCAGGAGGAGTGCGCACAACTGTGATGGAGTGCAATCTTGTTTACGTGCAACCGTGTGTGACCGCGGGTGACAGTGAGTGGCTCTGTGGCAGTGGGGGATTGTGTGTCTGTAGCTGTCATCATGTGTGTCTGTGACACCGAATGTGGCCAGGAGGCTTATGCGTTCCCGTCTCGGAGCAAAAGCCAAGCCCCCCCATACACACACCTACCACACTTTTTGTCTTCTTGCTTGGCTGGCTGGGATGTGTGTGGGATTGTGAGACCATTTAATGGATGGGAGTGGGAAAGAAGTGCTCAGCTCTGGGTAGCCCCTGCACTCGCCCAAGGCCAGGTGCCCTCTGTGTCCCAGATCTTCCTGTGGTTCTGGGAAGCTGCCACTGAGTGGAAGAAGGAGGTGGTGGCCTGGGGCGGGACTACCTGAAGACACACCCAGCAGGGAGGAGCCCCAACACGCCCATCTTGGTTGATTAAGCAGGGCTATGAGCCTCCCACCTTCCCGGGATGGTTGTCACCTGGGACGCCTACAAGTGGACTGTGAGTGAGGCCTGGACTCCCAGCCCCACCTACTTCAGGGAGAAGGACCTGCCCTGAGCAGGCTAGGAGGAGGCACTGCCCTGTCTGGGGTAGACCTCCAGTGTGGGTAGAGAAGCCCTGGTCTTGTCCCCAGCGCCGGCCCCCCTCTCCCACCCCCAGGTCCCAGTGGTGCCCTCCATCCTGGTTCTACCCTGATTCTTGCCCCCAGAACAACCAGTTCTATGAGGAGGTGGTGGATGGCAGCCTGGGAGCAAAACCTGCCACAGTTGAGATAACAGCAGTGAGTACCGGGTCCCCCAGCCTCCTGCCGGGGACTAGGTTTGGTCAGCATGGTCCGGATGGGCAGAATGGGCACGAAGGGAGCCAGGCCCTGGTGGTGGCGGAGTTTGCAATGGGGGAAAGAAGGCCACTGGCTCAGTGTGGCCTCCCTGTGTGAGTGTCTCCCCCCAGGACTCCCCAGCTTGAGTCCTCTCTCAGGGCAGGAACTCAACAACTTCCAGCTATCTGGAGGACCAAGCAATGACAAGGCAGGCCCCTTGACCCCGCGGACCCTCAAGGGCTAGGAGGAGAGCACAGGGAATGAGCTGCAGCTAGGCCCCAAGGCCAGTGGCACCAGCACCAGCAGCTACCACAGCAGCTCCAGACCCACCATCAGTGAGAGCCTGCCCCCAAACAGCTAATGCACCAGGCTGCTGAAGACTTGCTGGAGGGTGTGGGCCCTGCCCACGAGGGGGTGGGTGCCCAAGGCCCCCTGCCACTCACTGCCCAGGGCCTGGAGCATCTGAAACTGAGCTGGAGGTGCCCGGGGCATGACCAACTGATTGTGGGAAATGGGCAGCCTGCCCGGGGGATATGTCTTCCAGACGGAGTAATGGGCAGAGCAATCTGGGGGAGGAGAGCCTTGAGCCCTGGGACGATACCGCTGGATGGATGAGAGGAGATTCCAGGATCAGCTTACACCCTGCCCCTGTACCCTCTCCCCTGGTCCAGTTCTACCTCTCTGAATCTGACTTCCAAGATATCTTTGGGAAATCCAAGGAAGAATGCTATAGCATGGCCAAGTGGAGGCAGCACCAGGAGAAAAAGCGGCTTGGCTTTTTCTGACCCCAGGCCCTGCCCTTGCCTGGGCCACCCACATGGACAGGACCCCCACAGGTACCTTCCCAACACAAACCTGAGCCCCCAGGGAGACCCCGCTGACACGGCCTAGCTGGAGGCTCCCAGGTCACCCCCTCCACCCCCATCAATAAAAGCTGGTGGCGCTCACAAGGTGTGGTGTGTGGGCTTTCAAGTCTGGATCACTCAGTTGGTCCATCTCTGGGGGAAGGGGCCTCTGGGACTGGAGAGGGTGGTCTGTGACATTCCAGGGACCGAGCTCTCGCCACTGTCTTCCATGGAGGGGTTTGTTTCTTGCTGGTCCTTCCTGCCCAAGGGGACAGACAACCCTCATACTCAGGTAAGTGTGGGGGACATGGAAAGAGAGGTGCTGGGGCTCCAGTCCCCCCCAAACACACATGCACACACATGCGCACGCGTGCGCGCGCGCACACACACACACACACACACACACACACACATATGCCCTTTATAGGGATTTTCTGGCATTCCGGTAAAGAGACCATAGGAATTAGTCTTTTAACTTTTATAAAAACCCTCAGCCCAGGGCCAGGCCAGAGGGCGGAGGGCTGCAGTGTTTTTCCTAACGGAACTGAGGAGAGCTCCAGGGACAGGGCCAGCTCCTGGGATCCCAGAGAAGCAGCAGCACAGACGGGATGTTAGAGCTGAAGGCAGGGCAGGGCCTCTAGCTCCAAGTGAGAGGTTGGGAGCAGCCACAGCAGCCCTGTTCCTGGATGGGGACAGAGGGCCCGGCCTGCTTGGGGCAGCCCCCATCAGAACCCCCAAACCTAGTCCTGGAGAGACACCTTCACAAAGAGGGTGGCAGACGGGTGCTGGTCTCCGTTCTTAGACAAGAGATGGACATGGCGGTATCCTGGCAGGGGGATGGGCAGGAAAGAACACACAGTTCCGGTGACTCAGTGAGGCGTCGTCGAGAGACTTCCACGGCCCCAGCCCAAGGTAACAGGCCCTGCCTCCTCCACCTTGCCGTCCCCTCTCCTCAACAAACACTCACCTTGCTTGAGGCTGCCCAAGGGGATGGTGCTCTGACCAATGAAGTCGTTCTTGGAGGATGTGTCATAATCCTCCACCACAAAGCGCACCAGGGCAAGCTCAGGCACGACCACCTCAAACTCAAACTCTGTGTCCCACCACGGGTTGAAACCTAGGAGTGCAAGCAGCACGTCAAGAGCGGGATGCCAGCTCTGGGGGTCAGGCCCCACCCAGGCCCAGCGAGTACCGTTATTGGTGACTACAGCCGTCTGGCGGCTGGCCATGTCCCGGCCCACGCCGTGGATCTCCACCGTCACCTTGGGGTCCACAATTGAATTCTTATTCTTGTTGACTTTTGGCAACTGCTGCCCGGAGATTACCTGAGCAGAGGCAAGGGACAGAGGAGGGCTCAGGAGTAGCAGTGGGGAGGAGGGAGGCCCCTGGGCTCCCGTCCTGCGGTGGCTGGCCATACCCTGACAGTGAGCCGCTTCCGGGTCCACCAGGGCCCCTGAGTCAGGGCACGTGAGTTAAAGGTAGAGTTCGGGTCTCGCAGGAAGGCGGGCTTCAGCACGTACCCGCAGGCCCCGTTGTCCTGGAAGCGGCCCTGGTATACATCCATCTCTGGGCCAGGTGTTTGGAAATTCAGGGCCACTGACAGAGGCAGACAGAGCAGTCACAGGCTGTGGGCTGGCCTTGGGGGCCCTAGAGCCCGGCCTATTCAGGGTACACGGAGGCCTTAGGGCCACACAGTGAGGCAGAAGCGGGGTCTGGCATCCCTTCAATGCCTCCTGCCCTCCCACCCCCATCACTGACCCACACCAGCCTCACATTCCACTTCCCGTGTCAGAATTCAAAAGGCTAATGTGGTAACCAGGTGATGTCAGACCCTGACTTACTGGTGGGGAAGTATGTCCAAACCAAGACTACCAGCTCCTAAGCCCACAAGTCCCTGTGTCTGGCCCCAGCGGGGTCCCCAGAGGCACCTGACCCCTGGCCCTCTGGACTGAAACCCATACCGATCTGGCAGCCCCCGTTCCACATCTCCACGGGGCTGTAGTTGGAGGAGTCCGTTCTCCACCCAGCAGGGTAGATTCTGCTCAGGTGATTGACATTGTGGCGAACTAAGCTGTTTCCTGAAAAGGGTGGGGGTGGTCAGAAGCGCAGGCCTCCTAGGGAGCCCAAGCCCCCTGCCCCCCCCACGGCTGCCCTGCCCCCATCTGGTAACAGCAGGGAGTGCCCCATTCAGAGTCATGGAGCCAGGCCTGGCCCCCACCGGTCCAAATACTGAGACAGCCAGCCAGCACCCTGAGGGTGCCGGGCTGGGGCTCACCTGACTCTTGGAGCAGCCGGAGGACGCGGTTCTCGGAGAAGGACACCATCTCATAGAAAGCCTGCCCTGGAGTGCCAGGGCTGGAGAAGCCCCCAAAGTGGACACTCTTGCAGTAAATGATCATATCGGAGAGCTCCTTCACTAGCCTGAGCTTGTCCTCCTGGGGGCCATGGGGAGGCCCAGGTTAGATTCAGAGGTTGGGGCAGGTGGGCACTGAGAGAGCCAGAAACCCAGACGCAGAGAGACAGAGAGGAAGACAGACAGAGAGAGGGGGGCAGAGGGTCTGAGTGGCAGCCACAGAGAGCTGAGACAAGGCAAACATCCCATGATGGGGGAGGGCCCCAGGGCTGCCCCCTCCCCAACAGCTCCCCATCGAACCCTGGGCTTGCGCTGCACACGGCTCCTCACGGCCTCGTCCTCCATCTCAGCAGCCTCGTCCTCATCAGACACGACAGTGGCTTCTGGGCCACCCTCCCCGCCAGGGGGCAGGAGCCCCCCAAGCTTCTTCCCCTTCAGCAAGATCTTCCCCTTCAGTTGCTAAGAAGGGAGGAGCCGCTCGTTAAGACCCAAAGGCCTCCCAGCCAGTACCCCTGCTCTCTCGTCTGGGTACCCCCATGCCCACTGCGAACCTCAGGGGAAGGCAGACTGCTGGTGACCCCGTCCAGCGGCCGGTCCAACAGCATGGGGCCCAGGATGGTGCGCAGGTGTCGCGCCATCACACGCTGCTGCTCCAGGCTGCAGTGATTCTCCAGGGACAGGATGACGGGGTAGGGGGACGCCTGGAGGCCCGAGGGCAGGTTAGGAGTGGGGGGACCGCCACTACCACGTCCCTCCTCACCCGCCAGGGGCGCGCGCAACCTTGAAGGCGTAGTCCCGGATGGCCCTGAGCACGTCGCAGAGGAGGATCTTGGAGGTGAAAGTGTAGCCGTGGTAGATGACCGGCTCCTGGTTGGGGCCGTCCCAGCAGTCGAGCTCCAGGCAGCGGCAGCCTTTGCACAGCGCCCTGCGGGTAGGCGTGGCGGCTAGGCCCTCCGACCCCGCCCCCAGGCGCCCGGCCACGCCCCCAGGCCGCCCGGGCCCCGCCCCCGCCCCCTCCCCGGGCCCCACCGGATGTAGGCTTCAGTGCTGCTGGGCCCAGTGAGCTGGTCTTCCAGCAGGTAGGTGTTGTGCGAGGAGGACATCAGGTAGTGGCTGAGCGGCTGGCCCATGTCCTGGTAGACCCGCCGGTGCGCCAGGCTGAAGGCGCTGCCGTCGGCAGACAGCAGGTACATGAGGAAGCCGTCCTTTGTCATCTGCCGCTGTGCCTTGGCTGCGAAGGAGGACACCAGTGCCCGTGAGAGCTCTTCGGGCCAGGCCAGCCACCTTCAGGAGACCTTCAGGGCGCCACCGCTCTGGGAGGGGAGCCCCCTGCTGCCCGTGTCTCCCTGTTCTGAGCTGTTATCTCTCGGAGGCGGTGAATGTGAGTCAACCATCAGCCTGTGACTACCCCAGGGTGGGGCCCTGTCTTCTCCGCCTCGGTCCCCCACACTGTGAGGCCCCCTGAAGCCCGGGCCTCATCTCCTCCTCTGGGCCTCCAAACTGAAGCCCCTCCAAGACAGGGCCCCATCGGTCCATCTCAAAGCCCCGCCCAGGGCGGAAGCAGGAAAAGGGTTTGCTTTCCCAGCCTCCTCTCTATTTCTGGAGGAGGAGTCCGCAAAACCCTCTGGAAAAGCAACCAAGAGAGGGGTAGTGATGCTGGAGCCCCGTCTCCCATCTGCTTACTTTCATGGGGCAAGCAAATACTGACCAGGGTGCCCCTCTGTTCCCTTGAGCTCCCTACCCTCGGGCTGTAGTCTCTCCAGGGGTCTCCCAGCCCGGTGTGGCCCCAGGGACTGCAGGCCACAGGCTGTAGCCACGCTCTCACCAGTCTCACTGGGCTCATAGCGCTCAATGAGGGAGAGGGCCAGTGCAGGCCCTGCCGCCTCCTCCCGCTGCTGGTGCTGCAGGAACGTCACCAGCTGATCCACCGACAGCGCTTCCCTGGAGCCTGCAGCCTCTGCGAAGGTGCGATCAATCTCCTCCCGCTGGGTCAGCATCTTGTAGAAGGCCTCAATTTCATCGTCCTCCAGGGAGTCCGTCTGGGAGTGGTCACATTCCTGCCAGGCCAGGTGGGCAGGGCTCAAAGCGTGTTCCCCACTAGGGTCCCAGGGCCCATGGCCACACAGACCCAGCCCTCACTCCCTGCCTCACCCTGAAGATCTTCCGGGCATAGCTGTCATCCACCTGGATGTTGAGCTCCTTCAGGAAGTTCTGTAGCTCCTTGAAGCTCATCTTGTTGTCCTTGTTTTTGTCAGCTTTTCGCAAGCAGGAGTGAATCCAGCTGGGCAAGAAGTAAGGAAAGAACCCAGGAGCCCCGATACCCCCAAGGTCCCAGCTGTAGCTGGGTTTCAAACCCAGGGTCCACTCCTGGGCCCAGATGGACTGAGATCACCTACAGACAAAGCTCCCTTCGGGCCTGCCATACCAGCATTCCAGAGACAAGACCCGATGGCCTCTTCGGAGGAAATGTTATATCCTATCAAGGGGTCTTTTTTCTATTTACTGGCTTCAAACCCTTTCACATTAAAAAAAAAAAAAAATTCTTTTCTCACTGGGAAAGCGTTCACTATAGATAGCTTACAAAATA